GCAAGGTACTGTTATGTGAGAGGAAGAGAAATGACACGTTGGGTGTCTGGAAAGAGGAAACAATGTGAAGTTATAGGAGGAGAGTGGAGGTGAATTGGAACAGGGACACACAATCTTATTGCTCAGCAGCATTAAGGGTCTCCTGGAGACCTTGGATTTGTACATCTCAATTTCAAGCACGTCCAGGAAGATCATCTGTGCTTCCCCAGCAGTCTTCAACTGCACTGGATTAGGCATGTAGGAAGCAAAGCTGCACTTAGCCCAGTGTGTGGTCTCAGCAAGGGAGCAAGACAAATCATGATGGACGCAAGAGGGACAAAGTCTATGCAGGGTAGTGACCAGAAATCTATAGATTCCTACTGACAGGCACCTCCCCTGTATAAGCCTGCTAGGGCTGTCCTAACAAAAGTCCCACAGGCTGCGTTGCTTATGCAACAGATACATATGTTCTTGTTTTGTTTTTTTTTTTTTTTTCGGTACTAGGAATTGAACTCACAACCTTGTGCTTGCCAGGCAGGTGCTGTGCCGCTGAGCTAAATCCCCAGCCCAACAGATACATATGTTCTTACAGTTCTGGAAGTCAGAAAGATCAAAGTGTGGGTAGATTTGGTTCTCCTGACATCTCTCTCTTTGGCTTGCAAATGGCCACCTTCTCTCTGTGTCCTTGCAGGGTCTTTTCTCTGTGCATGCACATCTCTTACGTTTCTTCCTTTTAAAAACACTAGTCAGTTTCAATTGGGGACCCACCCTTCATTTTAATTTAATTACCTCTTTAGAAGCCCTATCTCCAAAAACTTTTAAACTCTTTCATCCACAGTAAAAAGTAATTATACATTTGACCTTTTACAGTACAGGTAAATACATAACTGAGAAAAGTTTCCACAGAGACTGTCATATGCTCTGATGTTTTAGGCATTTTCTGTTCTTGTCTGTTTTATTTTTTGAAAAATATCTACAGAGCTATCTCTTATCCTAAACAAATAATAATTACATGGCTGTATATAAATAATAGAGTAGTAATGTAAGCACTGATTAGTGATTTAACCAAAAATTGATCCTAACTACAGAGAAGAAGAGGAATGAGTGAGAGAAAGTTCTTATTCATAATGGTAGGTCAGACAAATTTATTTAAAAATGCATATATATAAAGGTGAATGGAAATATAGAATACTTGTATATTGTCAAGGTCATGGTAGCAAATGTTGAAAGAAACAGTTAAAAGTATTGAGACTAGTTGCCTCTAAGAAGAGGGACTTGCGAGGGTGTGCGGCTTTGGGAAGTGCTGGAAGACACATTTTTTTTGGTTTTGTTAGAAGCTTTTCAAGACAATCAGATTCTTTTTCCCCCAAAGTTCAGAATTATTTATTTATTATTTTAAATTAAAGTGAATTTATTTTAGCAGATGTATGAAAACGTAAAATGTTATACATATTAATGGGGTGATATGTGATATTTTGATATAGGTATACATTGTATAATGTTTAAATCAAGTTGTACATATTAACGTCAACAATTTATCTTTTTTGGTGAAAACACTCAAAATCCTTTTTCTTAGCTTTTTGAAAAATTTGACTTACACTATGTGTATATGATGCTCAATGAAAATTAAAAATAATAAAGAAACAAAGAAAGAAAAAAAGGAAAAAACAAAAGTAATTTCAACAAAAATCACATAATGGTTCCAACTATCTCTTGTACTGATTCTTTTTTGTTGGGCAGGGTGCCCAGATTTGAACTCAAGACCTCATACTTGCCAGGCAAGTGCTGTGCTGCTGAGCCATGTTCCCAGCGCCGGCACTGACTCCTAAGGACAGATTTGATTGAGTTTCTTTTGCTCCCCTAACACTCCCCATGAAACATTTGTGACTGTTTTCAACTCAGAATTCCAAGATGCGAATTTGTGTTTGTATTTTAGATCAGAAGTTCTCAATTCTTTTTCAGTATGTGAAGACAGCGCTTTCTTTTTTAAGACTCAGGATAACCAGTGATAAAGAGCACAGACCCTGGAGTCAGACTTGATTTGGATCCCAGCTTTACCACTTACTGCGTGACGCCAGCATGTGTTTAATCTCTTTGCCCATATTTCATTAACTCTAACATAGGGATAATAGCAGTAATTACCTCATGAGAGTGTTATGAAAATTAAAAGAATTAATATTTTCAAGTGCTTAAAACATCTCCCAGCATGTTTGATTTTGATATTTTTTCAGTACTGGGGTTTGAACCCAGGGCTTCAGGCATGCTACGAAAGCCTTCTAATATTGAGCTATATCCCCAGCCCCTTGGCATGTTAAATAAATAAAATTTCACAATACAGTAGTATCCTCTTTGAATCTATAGATTAAGAAAATATTTAACACTTGAAATTACCATGAATTCAGTAATGCCTTGTAAGATAACTTGTATTTTGTTAACCATACCAGGCTCTGTACAATTTGCATGAGATTGAATCTGTGGGAGATTATATTACTTATGAGTCTACAGGCACTCTTTAGTGTGCATACAAATTTGCAATCAATTTGAGGTCTAGAGTTTACAAATTTTTCATACATTGATTCCCAATGCCTGCAAAGTAGGTCATTTTAATTGACTGGAATATTTCTGTAGAAGCCACACTAATAGATTTTTCCCTCCATCAGAATTATGGTCTAAAATGACCTTGTAAGTGTTGAGTAAACAAAACCAGCACATGCTGCAGGAGTTTGGCACCCTGGAAACTTAGCACAAGCAATTACTGCCTAGGCCAGTGGGAGGCATGTTTAGAATGCAATTGTAATAAAGAAAGCTTGAATCTAATTTATTCCATTGCCTGAGAATTGACTGCATTGATAGGAGTTAGCAGAGAACAGAAGTGGGAAATGATCAGAAAACAAGAGGTGTCCATGGACTTCTTGCATTGTGTAGGGGAAAAACCACCTTAACCTATGAATACAAACATTTCAATCTGTTTAACACAAGTAACCCTACACTGTGGAGGTACTTAGCTTCAAGACTGCAGCATTAGTTGTTTTTAAAAAAACTATCTTCATTCATTCTAATTGAAGTTTACCAAACAACATTCTAGCGATAATTAGCTTCCCATGTAGGTTTGTCTGTGGTGGAGAATGTCGTTAGCACTCTTTTCATTTTGAGCAAATAAATTGGCATTCTGGATTATACAGCTGTTGCTATGAATGAATTCATTCAACATGAGCCTGCTAGGGAATTCTCAATTCTGGAGCCAAGAAAGAATCAGGCTCCCAAGGACAGATGAAGGATGAGGCCTGAAATGCAGGGTGCATAGGCACCACAGATATAGGTGGCATCTTCATCTAATCTTTTGTAAAAACAACACAGCATAGTACAGAACCCCTCCAAACACAGTTGCAACTCTCAGTTTTCCTGGTAGGAAAAGATACCTGCTACATTGCTGTCCTGGGAATAAGACTAAGGTGCATTTTCTACTTTGCTACCTAGTTCTGATTTGGAATGTGTTACGGTTTAGGTATCATACGTCCCTCAAAACTCCTGTGTTAGGCACTAGTTCCCTAATGTAGCAGTATTTATAGGTTGTTCTTTGGGAGGTGATGACTCATTAGGGCTTTAACTTCATCAATGGATTAATTCATTGATAAGTTAATAGGTAAATGAGCTTAATAGGAGGTGAAGCCTAATGGGATGAAGCAGGTCACTGAGGGCCTGGTTGTAAACAGTATATTTTCCTCTGGCTGCTTCCTCTTTGTCACTTTCTGCTTCTTGGCTGCAATGAAGTGTGCAAGTTTCCTCTGCCATGCCCTTCTGCCATGAAGCTTCTGCCTTGTCACAGGCCAATAGAGCCCACTGACAATGGACTGAAACCTCTGAAGCCAGGAGCCAAAATAAACTTTTTCTCCTTTAGAATGTTTTTCTCAGGCAATTTGTCATAGTGATGGAAAGCTGACTCACAGAAAATGTATGCTACATCAATTCTTTACACTTCTTAATTACCATTCACATACTATATTGATTCATTCAGTTCAACAATCACCTCCAGCAATGAGCACATTTCATTGTGAAATGTAAGATACAAAGATGAGTTACAAAACTGGTGAAAGCCACTCAAGTGCCCAGCACCAAATGAATGAATAAGCAAACTACGATATATATGTAAAATAGAATGTTGTTTAGCCTGAAAAAGGAAGGGTATTCTGGGACGTGCAGCAACATGGATGAACCCTAAGGGCATTAAGAAAGTGAAACAAGCTAGATACAAAAAAAGACAAATATACTGCAATTCCACTCATATAAGGTACCTGGTCTAACCAATAGAAAGTAAAACGGTTATTGCCACGGGGTTGGTAGGAGGCTGGAATGGAAAGCTAGGGCTTCATGAATATAGAATTTCAGTATGGTAAGATGTAAATTGTTTTTGGAGCTGGATGGTTGATTAACAGTTTGAGTATATTTAATGCCACTAAACTCTGCACTTAAAATGGTTAAGATGGTAAATTTTAGGTTTATATGTACCTTGTTGTGCTAAAGAATTGAGGAGAAAGCGGGTTTTTGGTTCCTGTCCTAACGCTTACTATAGTGTCTACAAGAAGTGAACAGGAAGGTGGAAGAACATTACGGAGATACAGACTAAAGAGCTTAATATTGAGGTGACCCCGGACAGTGATGGCAAAACTTTTAGAGTTTTCAATGATAATTACTAGCCCCCTTGCAGCACGCGTGCCACTGGTTCACCACCACTGCAAAGGTTTTACGACAAAACTGGCACAAAAGGTTGTTCATTAGATATTTCTCTCAGATACTTAGGACATATTTATTAGAAGCCTCCTGACGCTGCTAGAAAAACAGAAGGTTCAGGAGGACACTATCGCCCTGCCCGTGTTCTCAGTCCAGCTGTCGCTCCCAGATTGTACCGGAGAAGCCCTCTCTGGCCCAGCAGATGGCGCCGGCGCCTGCAGTGCAGCTCCAGGAGCTCAGAGAGCGCGCTGGGTGGGCCTCTCTGCCCCTCGCCTCGGTGACCCTTTCTTCCGGCTCTCCGCGCCCCAGCATGCCCTGCGCGAGCGGCGGTTGCTGGTCCGCTGGAGGCATGGCGGCTTCTTCGAGTGGTGAGAAGGAGAAGGAACGGCTGGGAGGCAGCTCGGCATCCGCAGGCAGTAACAGTACGCGGGAGCGACTGTTGTCTGCGCTTGAAGATCTGGAGGTCTTGTCAAGGTGATGCTCCCGGCCTGCGTACCCGGCCGGGGCGGGGCGGGGACCGACTCTGGAACAGACGGCTCTGCCTTTGCCTTGGCCCCAGGCGCTCGGCGGGGAGGGTCGAGCTCGGTGTCCTGGTGTCCGCGTGCTCTGGACGTGGGGTCCGCAACCCTCTGGGACTCTGGGCGGCATTTTTTCCCATTAGAAGATATTTTGGTAACGACAGTGATCCTGGAGCCCCAAGACAGCCGTAGCGGAGCTTATAAGTCTCAGGGTTTGAACCTCTTTCGTCCACGGACACTTAGCCAGCATTTAAGGAACACCTCCTGGGTGCCGAACTCTGGGGGACCGTAGTGAAGGGGAGGCTGGATGCCGTCGTGGAGGAGGCCAGGGTCAGAGAGATGGCTGTGTAAACCGTGGCGCCGGGCCCCTTTAGGTATGAGGGGTGAGCTGCGGGTACTGGAGCACAGGGACGTCTGTTCGAGTTGTAGGCAAGGCAGGCTTCCTGAAAAGAAAGGGCTGTTAGGGAAGAATTAGTTCACCCACTTGTTAAGCAGCAGAATTGCAAGTTGGGATGGCTGGCGTGCAGCCTGTGTGACAGAGAAACGAGATGAAATTGGGTGTCTTTCTCCATATTCTGCCGCCTTTCATGGTCGGTCTTTCAAGTAAGAGCCTTCATAATGGTCTCAGCTTAGGTGTTAAAATGCAGTGGTTCTCCCCCGTCGAGTGTTGCTCAGATTTGCCCTCTCATTTTTAACTCCTCTATCGTGACTATTTCTTAAGTGCAGTCTCCCAACAGTTTTTACTCGCCTTCCTGCTTTTGCCCTTTATTCATCCATATTGCAGAAAAACGGAATTAACTTTTTAAAAGGCATCTCCTACCACTTCTTTACTGAAAAGTATTTGGTAGGTTCCTGTTGTCCAAGGAGATAAAACATAAATTCCATAGCTGAATGTGCAGTAAAGACATTCTCTTTCCTCACACTCCATCCTGTTGTCCTCATTTGGTGCTATATCTCTCTGCCTTGCCTTTGCCTCTGTGAGTACAGTCGTACAGACATGGGTATGTGCAGTGGCGGGACCATAAGATTAAAACAGATCTGAAAAATTTCTATGGTCGTTATAACATTGTAGCACATTGCATTGATGTTAACCTACTGTACTGCCAGTTGAAAAAAAGTATAGCAAATATAGTTCTCTACAGTGCATAATTAATAATGGTAATAAAGACATTGTTACTGGTTTATGTATTTGCTAGACATTTTATCATTATTCTAGAGTGTATTCCTACTTGTGGAAGAATTTTACTATAAAATGGTATGCTGCTTTATGCGGCAGCAGCCTCGTACATCCTGTACTTATCATGTTATTTCCGCTCGTACGTGATTACCCTATGCTAGTGATGGTGATCCTTTTAGAACTTTCAACGATAACAAATAGCAGTATATGGGCTGTGGATTCTCTGCCACTGCCCTATACCATCGAGGTTTATTAACCTTCTGTGAAGGTTCAACAATAACTAAATCACCTAATGACGCATTTCCCAGAAATTCTCTACCCTGAGCTAGGTATGACTGTTCTTCCACACTAAAAGCCAGTTGTGCTTCTTCATGGTCAGTAGCATTCTTAATCTACTTCCAGTTTTGTGAGTGTTTCAGTCCCTTCAGAATCTCAAATGTAACCTTTTCCGTAGTTAAACCTTTAGCATAAATCTTACCTATTGTGTTTTAAACTATACCTGATCTACTTATAATGAGCATTTTATCTGTGCTGTTAATTTAGTGTGCAGCAGTATTATTGACCAAAGTTACTAGGGCAGCATGATATCAATACATGTGGAAAAAAAGAAGAATTAACCTAAAGACACCAGAAGTTAATGTGTTATGCATTTAATCTATTTTTGTTTGTTTGTTTGAGATGAGGTCTTACTGTGTACCCTAACTGGCCTCAAACTCAATACCTTGAGTTGCGGATAGTTGTCACTACACCTGGCTCCGTTGTTTAAACTATTTTAGATTATGGGGCTGGGGATTTAGCTCAGCGGCAAAGCACCTGCCTGGCAAGCGCAAGGTCGTGAGTTCGGTTTCCATTACCGGAGAAAAACCAAAACCAAAATAAATAAATAAATAAATAAACAATTTTAGATTAAAATACCACCAGCTGTGGAATTTTCAGCCAGCCAGTGGTCAGCATGAACAAAAAAACTCAAAGTCTTGTGCACTGTGGCTGTGTACATGTTTACACAGATTCATCATATGCTATTTTCTTATCTTTGCTGGGTTTGTTGTTTGTGATGGAGAACTTGTTAGTTTTCTAATTAGCTAATCCTCTTAAATGTGTGCCTGCATTATTTCTTTGGAAAAAAGCACTAGCAAGAGGGAGCATTTGAAGTATGATGGTTTCAGTTAAATTATTCACATCTCTATTCCCTGTGACTTGGCCATCTTTGGTGTAACTAACTGAAGCTTCATTAGTTCATGTTGTTACTCTTTGTAAGTTATTAAAATATAAATTAACATTCATAAATGTTACCTAGCCCACTGCTCTTCCAAATAGAAGTGACTTTTATTTGAGAAAAATTTACATGCTTAATCTAATCAGTCCTTTTAGAACCATTGGTCTATCAGACTCAGTCTTTGAAGTACCTGGAAGAGACCATGTAATTCTGATAAAAATTTTTATTTCACTGGATTCACAACAATTAATGAGTAATTGGAAAATACCATTGCTGTTGCATGAACTGGTTTTTCCAGTTATTCCCTTGAGCTATTTCTTTTCTGGAGGAATTTTCATCTGAGGGCCATGTCTAATATTTGTTTGGCTTCTAATATCTTCGCTAAAGAACCTTAATGAGGCAGCTCAGTGTTATTAGTCGAATCGAACTATTCTTTATCATTTGCTCATTTTGACCGGCTATGTGGTGTGGATGGTAGTGGTAAATTTTTCTGTAAATATGTTTTCGGTGTGAAGGAGAACACACACTCTTTTTAGGAAATAGCTGTTGTCTTTTGTTCAGAGTGCTGTTCTTAGAATTTAAAATCCTTCCTTACTGTGTTCACAAAGCCATTCCCCCCACCCTCTTTTTTCCCCCCTGAATTAGGAAGTTAAATTCAGGGCCTTCTCAGTGAGCTACATCCCCAGCATTGAAAAACGTTTTTTTTTGTTTTTTTTGTTTTTTTTTTTTTTGAGACAGGGTTTCATAATGTGGGTAAGTTGCCCAGGCTAGGCTGAAACTTGTGCTTCTCCTGCCTCAACCTCCTAGAGAATTATAAGCATGTACCGCCACAACAGGCTCACTCTTCTACTTGAGCCCAGTAAATTCTTTTTTGAACTGAGCTTGTACCATCAAGATGGCCAATCTTTCTGTTTTGCTGAATAACCCTAATGCATATTTTATATTCACCAAGTTCAGGACCTATTTTTTTTTTTGTTGTTGTTGTTTTTTTTTTTGGTTTTTCTCCGGTACCGGGAACCGAACTCACGACCTTGCGCTTGCCAGGCAGGCGCTTTTGCCGCTGAGCTAAATCCCCAGCCCCTCAGGACCTATTTTTATGAGCCTTCCCATTCAGGGTAAAGATTTTGAGAATCTTTTGACATTTGACAACTTACTAGTCAGTTTGAGATCTTGCCTTTGATTGACTACTGGCCCGTGTATCTGGAGTGTTTTTCTGATGCTGTCAGTACCTGTAGGATTGTTTGTACCTGATCTTCATGTACTTGAGATGACGCAGTTAAGTAACTCATCAGTATAGTATGTCCTGCTTGATGAGATGCATTTGCCCGTGGAAATAGTAAATCATCATTTATATTTTCCTCAGAAACCTGCATGTTTCTGAAACTGTCTATTAAAGCACTTTAGTTGTACATAGTCAGCTGAAGTGCTGAGTTCTCTTTTGCATTTTGTGAAAGAAGCTGTAATTATGTGGTCCTTTCTCCAGGAGTACCAAAAAGATTAACTATCATTAATTTATAGTCTTTATATATTGACAGATTAGTGATCGTCTTCTTAATTGAGGTACTTTGCATTCTGCATTAAAAACCATTGTCTTGGTGGTTTGTTTTCCTTTTCTTAGATTTTTAGATGACTCGTCTGCTGTTACTTTATTTGTTAATCCAAACTGGTGGTCAACTTATAACCCCCAGCTGAACTGAGTAAGCGTGGTGCTGGTGTGGGAAGCCCAGCAAGCCCTGAGGATTGTTGTCAGCAGCATAAGAGGCAGAATGGGAGAAGAAGTTAGGCTGTTGGGAACTGAAAGGCCGTGGGAGCTGAGAAAAGGCTGTTGGGAGCTGGTAGAAGCTGTAAGGAGCTGTTGTTTTGGAGGAGTTTGTCATGCTGACTTTCCTGATGAACTTGGCTGTTTTTATCCTTCAAGGAGCTTGAGACCTTGTTGGCACTGAGAATAGCTTTGGTTCACTTTGGGGGAGCTCTGGTCCTCACTTTGAGCATCACTTCCTGGCTTTGGAGGGGAAGATGGTGCACTGGTCAGTCTCCTGAAGTATGCTGTGTTGGCTTCCCTGATGGGAACTTGGCCATCTTGATCATCCGAGGAGCTTGGGACCTCACTGTTACTGAGGATGGCTGTGGTACCTTTCGGGGGAGCTCTGGTTCTTACTTTGAGCATCACTTCCTAGCTCCAGTGTAGATCCCTCAGCCTGCTAGCACAGATTCTTCATCCCGCTGGCGTGGACTTCCTAGATTCCGCCACTGACCTTTGGACCTTCACAGCACAGATTTGTGAAACAGGCCTGCAAAAGATACTGTTAGGGGCTCTGGGCTTCCAGGTGGATTCGTGGGAGGCATTGTTACAAGCTCTAGGTCTTCAGCTGGACTCACGTAGGACCCTACCATGGGATCCAGGCCTTCGGGTAGATTTCTTGGTCTGTAGTGTGTGGAAAGATTTCTTGCACTCTCTTGTGTATGATTCTTTGGGTAACTGTGATAAATAATCTTATAAAGTATGTGTCCTGTATTATATTGTTCCCCTTGCAAAATAACCCCCAAACCACGACAGTGGGTAAATGAAGTTTTACGTCTCACGATCCTGAAAATGGTTGGTGGTAGTAGTAGAAAAGGTAGAAGATGGTTTGCTACCTAAGTGTCATTGGAATGTCTCTACAGAATGAAGCTGCTCCATTGTGTTTGGCTTACAACAGGTTTCATTATGTGCTCGTTTAAGCATAGTTACATGTACTGATTCTGTGACATTTGTCATTATCTTCTGAATGAAATTTGTGTATAGCTTGTGTTTTAAGAAAATCGAGGCTGGTGATACAGCCTAGCAGTAGACCACTTGCCTAGTATATGCAAGGCCCGAGGTTCAGTCCTCAGCAGTGAAAAAAAAGAAGCAAAAAAGAAAAAAAATCACTAATGTACCTTACTTATCTTTGTGTTGAACCTTGACTTTAGAAAATAATGGATTTGAAATTTAGGATAAATTTTTACTGTTACCTGATTATATATAGAGCCTGTCAGTGTTTTTATTACTTCTTGAAATGTAATAGAATGAGGTGGTCTTTGGAGGAATTTAACAAATAGAGACATGGATTGTAGACTTTGCTTTTTTTTTTTTTGAGACAAGATGTCTATGTAGGTCAAGTTATTCTTGAACTTGTGGTTTCCTTGCATCAGTCTCCCAAGTGCTGGCATTTAGACTTTGATTTCTCAATCTGTTTATACCTCATTGTCCTGCTAAAACCATGTTGATAGGCATCCTGAGGCTTCTACACTAGTCAGTTAATTCTCTTTACCCATAACTTACTTGAAGTGTAATGCCACCAATAATAGGTTCTAACACCTATGTAAGTTATGGTTCACTGGGGAAATGTGGTTGGATTCTAATTAGGAATGCCAACTATATACTTCATATGGCAGAGTAAGGGCTCTTTATTTCCACGACTGTAACCAGAGAGTAGGCCTGGGGATCCTTTGGCCTCTTCTCACAGTTCAAGAAGACAGCTTTCTTCTTTGTCCAGAGACTATTACAGAGCTGCCTGAATCTTAAAGACTTTTCCCTCACCTGTCCTACTTTGCCTGAAGCAAGCTTGTAAGGTGAGATTTGTTAAGAAAAACAAAAGGCTTAATTCAACCCACACTGTTACTACCCTGAAATTAGCTTTTACTTAGACCAGAGGTTGTTGCCCGTGTCTCTCTAGGGTCAAGGAAAAGGTTCAGATGACATGCTCTTTTCATGCATTATGGATTTAAATCATTAGCAAGTTCAGTCTGCTTTATGTTCAAAATATATCCAGAATCTGTTCATGTTTTCCCATTTTTATTAGTAAATCCTAGAGGCTAGGCCCTAGTCAAAGCCACTGTCAACATTTGCCTGGAATATAACAATGGACAGCTAACTTGGAATCTTTTCTGGCCCTCTTAAAATCATTTCACCAGATAGCTCAGTGATTGTTCAAATGTAAGTCAGGTCATGTCATTTTCTTGTTTAAAATGATCAAGGGACTTCTTACGGAGCTTAGAATGAAACACTAATATTTTACTGTTACTAAAACCGTACTACGTATCTACCTTTGTCTTACCTTGTGTCCCTCCCCTTGGTGCTATAGCTCCTCAAACTTGGGCCACTGAACTAGTACCTGTGTCTTTTGCCCAGTGTCTTGGCTTCTTTTCTCTAGTTGCTGAGACAAAGTACCCAGTAGCCAAAGTTAAAGGGGGAAAGGTTTATTTAGCTCGTAGTTTGTAGAAGTTTCAGTCCATAATTAGCTGGGTTTGAGGCATGGTGGCATGGTAGAGGGGCATCCCAGAGGAGAAACAGTTCGTGGTGGCAGAAGACAGCAAAAGCAACAAGTCGGGAGAGACAAGCCTGTTTCTGTCCCTTATATTGTATCTAGTCTACCAGGCTTAGGGTGATGCCAATCCAGTCAGTGGAGTGATTCAGTGATCACCCACCCTTAGTCCTAGCACCCTTAATCCCAGCATTGCAACATGAATCAGTCATATACTCTAGATTCAATCACCTCTGAAAAAACCCCATCTAAAATTGCGTGAAGCCTGGGGAGGACACTTAGATAAAAACCGTAACACCCAGCCTCCTTCCTCCTAGAGCATGTGGCTGGCTTCTCAGTTCATTCATGTCTCACCTCCAGATGTGTCCTTAGAGAGGCATTCCCCAGCCACTCAATTTAAGTAGCCAACCCACTTTACTAACAGTCTCTAATGTAATTCTTTGCTTTTTTTCTTACTAACCCTTATAACTCTGGTTTTATTTCTTCTTACAGTTATTCTTGTCTCTTGTATTAGAATTTAAGTACTATTATCCATTTCTACAATCTATTTGGGAAGTGCCTGCTGCATCAGAGCTAACTCAATAGATATTTGATTATTGAGTGAGTAAATGAAGACCTTGCACCCCCATATTTACTTTTTCATTAGTTAATTTTTTCGTATATAGATAGTGATATGGAAACTAGTGTGGAGAGGGTTCAGTCGAATTGTCAACATCCAGAAAAATGATGTGAAGCTAGAAAGGTAGAAGTACAAAAGTAAAAACAGCTTGGCAGCCAGCGAGAAGGCACAAACACTGGTCTAACTAGACCAATGTCAGGTAGATAGTTGTGAAGTTTTCCTCTTTGATAATTTTTGAGCTGTACCATCTAGCAACAAGTTTGAAAGTGATATGTAAATTCACCTGCTATATTTTTTTCCTGATCATATTTCTTGATCAGATTTTGCTAATCTGATACTAATTTTCATATAGGAAAATTGACATACCTATTGAGTATTCAAGAAAGATGGAATTTTGGTATGTATTAGAATCCCTGTTAGCTGGTAGATGTTAAGCTAATGAAGTAGAGACTGATTAAATCATTAAAAATGACATGCATTCCTTAATTGTTTTGTTTTACTTGGACACATGTTCATTCACTAACCATCCCATTAGTGAGGAACCTTTTCTGTAAAGGGTCAGAGAGTAAATATTTCTGGTTTTTCAGGCCATGTGGTTTCTGCTTTGACTGCCCAACTCTACCCTTGTAGAGGAAAAGCAGCCATCACCTTAATGTATGAAACTGCAGGGGTGCTGGATTTGACTTACAGACTCTGATGTAGGCGTTTTCCTCGTATAAATTACTAGGAATCCATTGTTTGCATTTTCTACCTGGATTTCTTTGAAGTGAAATGAGAATTTAACTCTCTCATCAGGCAGTCTCAGGGCAATATGTTGTGTGTTTTTCAGACTTTTTCCTGGTTCTTTACAGTTGTCCTTGCAAACCTCTGTCTATGCATTTAGCTTAGGTTTTTGTAGAAAGAACTCTTTCCGTTCATAGTCCGGCATTCATGCAGTGTTTATATAATTATGGTAACAAGTAAAAGTAGGTATAAATAAATTCAGTAACAAACACAAGCAAGTCTCAGTAAGAGTGCATCGCAGCTGGTGAGAGCTGAGGTACACAGAGTGGACTGCAGAGCAGTAGCCATGAACAGCCTGCGTGTTGTAAATACCGTGCATGGGCCGGGCAGAGAGCAGTTAAGCAAGTTTCTATTATATTTATTATGTGAAAGGTTTTGTGTGTTGGTTTGTTTTTCTTTTAGGGAACTTATAGAAATGCTGGCAATTTCAAGAAACCAAAAGTTGTCACAGGCTGGGGAGGAAAACCAGGTAAGTGGTTCATTTTAAGATTAAAACAGCAACAAAAATCCAGCAGGGTAGTGCCAGGAGTCCCAGGGAAGCTGTGGTAGAAGGATCACAAGTTGAAGCCAAGTCTGGGCAGTTTAGGAAGACCCTGTTTGAAGATTAAAAAAAAAGAAAAAGGGCTAGGGTGTGTATCAGTGTGAGGCCCTCTGTTTAATCCTCAGTACTATAAAAACAAACAAAAACCCCAATAATTTCTGCAAGTTTCCTGCTTTATATTTTCTTTGTGTGAGAACAGGAAGGTATTACTTAAAACTTTAAATTGATAATTTTTTTACATCACTTATACAAGATAACTGTACTTAAGAAAATAGTTTCCTAAGGGTTTAGCAGAATTTTATTATTTCTCTTTATAGTTCTAGTTACCTTTACACATGTATTCAGTTTTGTCTTTTGAGTGAACCAATGAAATCTTGGTAAATAAAGATTAAGTCAGTATGTTGAGTCTAAAGTTAATATCCTTATAAATTTAGCCCTTATTACAGGTTTGGTTACTGTAGTTCAATTTGAAAACAAACGGAAATAAAAAATCACTGTTAATAGAAGTTCTCTTATGGGTATAAATCTTATACCCATATGGATACTTTTTATTTTCCTTATACTTTCCTGCTCTAATTTTCTGCTGTGAACAGGTTTTGTTCCCCAACTCAGAAAAATTTTAAAGACATTTAAATGATAAATTTTATATTAAATTACTTTACTATAATTTTTAAAAAGAAAATGAGCCAGGCATGATAGTGCACTCCTGTAATCCTCACACTTGGGAGGCTGAGGCAGGTGGGTTGATGTGACTTAGGTCAGCCTGCGCTATATAGTGAGTTCAAGGCCAGCATGAGCTAAACAGTGGGGACAGGGGAGGAGAAAAATGAACTGGGAAAGTTAGCCTTTTTAATAAAGAAGAAAACTAGAAGAGAAGACAGTATATCATAGACCTCGCTATCATCTGCCCCATCATTATATCAGTTTTGTCTTAGGGCATATTTTGAGGGCACAGAAATCTGATGAATTGAGTAGAGAATTGTTAGGGTCTTGCTAAATTGCCCACGCTTAAATTTGTAATCTACCTTGCTCTGTTCTAAGATTACAGATGTGTACCACCATGCCTGCCAGTTTTATTAACAAAGATTAGGAATAATATTTTGGAGGTGTTAAAATTTTATAGCCTTGCTAATTCATGTATGAATTCTTTGTCTCATTGGAATGTGGTCTTTCAGTATTCTGTTTTTTGATGTAGTCAACTATTATCTGACAGGTCCTTGAGTTGTTAATTCACCGAGATGGGGAATTTCAGGAACTGATGAAATTGGCACTTAATCAGGGAAAAGTCCATCATGAAATGCAAGTTTTAGAAAAAGAAGTAGAGAAGAGAGACAGTGATATTCAGCAACTACAGAAACAGCTAAAGGAAGCAGAACAAATACTGGTAAGTTGATGATTGGCCCCTAAGGCAAAGGAGGACAGTGTTAAACTATTCTGAAAAATAAATCAGTATCACTAATTTGAAGGCCACAAGACTTTACTTTCATGTCTAAAAGTAACATTCTGTCAGTAATAGTTTTTAAATTTTTATTAGTATGGATTACATTCATTGTGTAGAAAACACTGTACATGGACAAAACACATGTACATAATATACCTTAATTCTTTTTACTTCCTCTTCTCTTCCCCTTCTTCCCCTCCTTCTCCATCTCTTGGGACTTTTTCAGTAGTAAAGAAAAAACCATTGCTTTTTGACATTTTATTTTCAGATAGTCTGTATTACTTTTAAACTACATTTTCATATTTAAGGATTTCACAATATTGAATTGTAGAAATGGAAAGTTTTGCTTTTATCCTGGTATAGTACAAGTTTTAATTACTAGTGGTCTAAAGCTTCAGTTTTTCAAATATTTTGAAATCATAAAATGTATATTAATTTCACAGATTGGTTAAAATATACATTAATTTATTTGATCTTCATCTTAAACCAGGTGGGATTAAGATATATGTTACGGAACCTAGTTTTTTCTTTGTTCCTGATTACCACTTCAGAGGCAATTTATTAGCCATTAGTGGCCTAGTTATTTTACTAAATACCAGTTGCCAGATGATCCTAATACAGAAACAGCTGAGTTTGATTTTCTTATGAGCCTGATATTTCCGGCATCTTATCCTTGGTGAACCTCTTCAAAATGTGCGAAAATGGGCTCTAATAAATAGGAGGCTAATGGTCCAACGTACCTTAGTAACTCCTACTGAGGAGACAATCCCAAGTAATGCTTTCAAAAAATGCTTATATTAAAGTACGTTTTTCAAGCGCCTGCCTGGCAAGCGCAAGGTCGTGAGTTCGGTTCCCGGTACCGGAGAAAAACCAAAAAAACAAACAAACAAACAAAAAAATAAAGTACATTTTTCCCCTATGAAGGTAATACATGCTTATGAAAAGGTAATTCAGAAAATACAAAAAAGTAGAAGGAAGAAAAATTGCCTTTAGTTCCGTTTCTCATATAATGCCAGTATTTACAGTTTGGTCTTTGTGTTTTTTGAAACTCAGGAGAGTATTTTTTTTTATCCTTATTGTGATCTAGAAAAATACAAGCAGACTTATCTAAAAAGCATTTTCCATATAATTATATCCTCTTCCAAGTTTATATTATAAATAATGTTTGGATAAATATCTTTGCAGATAAATTTTTTTTCTTCTGTATTTTGGATTGTATTCTTAAGATTTCCAAAAATTAGTTTTTAAATTGCAAAGAATAAACACAGGATCATTAGGAGAAAATTTTTTATTAGATAGTAGCTTTATATGCATTATCTCAGTCTTCATAACAGTTCTTGTAAAGTCAGTGCCATTATTAATGTGAAGAAAAAAAGACTTTAAATGGATAGTTAAGTTTCTTATGGAGGTTAAAAAATAGAGAGATAGAAATTAAACCTAGATATCTCTGACTTCATACTCTTAATTACTCCAGAATGTTTCTTTTATTAGAAAGACATTATATTGGGTACTTTATCCTTGAATTAGATATAGCAATAGGATGCTATTAAGTGATAAATGGTCTGGATCCCTTCTGCATATTTATGGTATGTGACATAAATTAGCAAATGAATTTATAGTTTGTAAACTATGAGTGGAAAACTGGTGTATGAATATATTTCTTTCATTAAATATAACTTTGATATAAGTAATATCAGGTGGTATTTCAACCCATTAGAGATAAATTAGATTTCCAAGTTTTGTAAATTGTTCTTGTGAATAAATGTCTTGTTAATTAAGCCAAGAGCTATGCTTGATATAGTCAAGAATAAATCATATATATATTTTTAACGTTGTTTAAATTAGGCAACAGCTGTTTACCAAGCAAAAGAGAAACTCAAGTCAATAGAAAAAGCAAGAAAAGGTTAGTACCATGGAAAAGCTGGATGGTCTTCTACAAAACCTAAGTTCTTGTTTCAAGAAGCTCATAAGATCACTGGTAATCATTTCCTGCTGTTGAAAAGATTCCAATAAATATTCACTGGACTTTGTTGTGTTCTAGTATTGTAGTAGGCATCCCTAGGGAGGTAGAAGTATCATCTCTTTTCAGGTTATAAGAAGGAATAATAGAAGCCAGTTTTGTCCTTGTATTTGAGTGTACAATAAAGAGAATGGTTTATAAAAGTTGTTGGGAGAAAGAAAAAGAAATGGGATTTGAATTGGATCTTGAAGGCTAGGATAGAGAGAATGAAAGAGAACGTCCACTGGACACCTGAACTGGGACAAGACCTTCATGATATCCATACTAGAAGTACCTTTGGGATGTTGAGCACATTGCGGGGTGCAGAGGCCCAGCAGGCCTTCCTGTCCTGTACTACCTTTTAAAACGGCTTATATTACGATCTTATTGGGTCTTTTCATCTGCATAATAAAAGTGGAATTGTACTTAAAACTTTGGTTACTTGCCTTTAGTGACTTGTTGATTTGAATTACATTTAATCATCTCAAAATAATTGTTTAGTTTTCTTTCCTGTTTCTTTGGGAGCCTACTTTTGGGTTACTTGTAAAAAATAGCTAATGTCTTCTAAGACATAAAGTAGGCTTCTGCAGCAGTAAACAGGTCTCTAAGAGAGATAATTGAGGCTGGCTATTTGAAACCTAAAGCATGTCTTCATGAAATATTTTATACCGCCTTTATAGTTTTTTGTCATATTGAGACAAATCTAAAGAAAAATCAGTTATAAAAGAATTTTGTTCTCACTTTTCAGAGGCAGCTGCTGCTCATGTTTGGTGTATGTCCTTCCAGATTTTTTTTCTAGATTTATGAATATATATTAAAAGTACCCCCAAATAAAAATACATTTATTTTAAAACAAAAGATCGTCACACTGTACATATTCAACAGCTTTTTTTACCTAATAAATGCATGTGTACTTTTTTTTCTTGAGGTCTGTTTAGATCGTAAGCCATGTTGATCACATAGAATAGTATAAACCATCTGATGATTTCATAACTTGGATGTCATTTGGAAATGAAACATTGTTTTCTTTATTTGTACTTACTGTGGCTTTCTGAAGAGTAATGGTGTTTAATAATAGTTATAGACTGAGATTACTGAACAGTATGTTTGTCTCCCAAATGTTTCTTTATTTTAGCTGATTTTGCTGGATGAGTGTCATCTTTAGTTTGGAAATATATACACTTTAGGTTTACAGTATATATGGAGGCATAGTTGGGGAAGTTAAGTGGTTGAGATTACTCTATTTTCAGATAATTTAAAATTAGCTGGGTGTAATAGTGAAATCCAGTAATCCCAGCACTGTGGAGACTGAGGCAAGGGAATCTCTAATTCAAGGCCAGCCTAAGTTACATAGTGAAAGCCTGTCTCAAAGGAAAACAAAACAAAACAAATAAAATTAAGTATACTGTGTAACTATGATGTATGCCCTTCTAAAATTGTATGTTTAATAGACTAAATTTTATTGTTCCCTTAATTGTCTCAGGTGCTATCTCCTCTGAAGAAATAATTAAGTATGCACATAGGATTAGTGCAAGTAATGCCGTGTGTGCCCCACTGACCTGGGTTCCAGGTAAAAATACCGTTCTTTTATATGTAGTTTTGAAAGTTTTTAGGTTCATGAATGTGAACATAGACTTAATTACAGAATATATATTTTAGAAACATCTACCAATAAAGATATTTTCAAATCTTTACTGTCTCACAAGTGATGATTTATGCCTTAGTTTTTATAGATTTGGTTTTCTATATAAAGCCAGGGGTGCTAGGGACTGTGTTTCTGTCCTTTTTTAAAAATCATAAGTTATCAATTGTAAAAGGTTTAAGTTAATATGTGATACATCTAAAACAATGGATTTATGTGTCTGTAAAACCCCAGTTGGCCAGAAGCCAACTCTTGGAGCCATTAGGGCTTCCACAAACGATAGAACCTGAGAAACAAACAGTCCCTGCACTCTTAGGTGCTACATTTAGACACAGTGGTTGGCACCCAGTAGCTAACACAGGCCTACAAACAGCTGGGAGAGTTAGAAATAGCAAAGAGAGAAACTACCAACCGTATTCACAGTAAGTAAAATAAAAGACAGGGAACCTAAAGAGGAGCAGTAGGCTCTTATGAGGAATGAGAGAGGTATCTCAACTCCATCCCTCCTGAAGGTGGTGTTTACTGTCACTAAAAGTACTAAGGGGAACTACAGTTTTGGAGGTGAGTAATGTGGAGTTGGTGAGAAACATTACCATAAAGTTGGTCCAAACCTGGCTGTGTTTTTATCAGCCCCAAACTGCTATTTGGTATGTTTTCATGGTTGGAATGAGAACACCTACTCCTGATAGCACTAGAAAGTTACAGGAATTAATCTTTTAACAAGATCAGAAAGTTTGGTTGGAAGGAGGTTTAAGTAACCCTTCCAATAAACAATCCATTCCTATCTGATAAGAACAGATACTACACTTGATCTTAGCCAAAAGGCTGAGAAGTGATCCATTCCTGTCTTATAAGTGTCCTGATCATTGTTATTTTTCTAACTAAAAGATGGAATTAAGTTAGAAGAATTGAAATCATAATTTTCTCAAATTATCATTTGAAGTGTTTACTGAATGACTGTCTCATCTTTTTCATATAGCGAATAGTATATTCCTGGGAAGATTGAGAATAAAAGTACATGTATTTTTAAAATTAATACATTATGCTCTTAATAACAGTTGATAAGGTGAGCTTCATATTCCAAAATTTAAAATTAGTTGAGTTTTCAGTGTGCACCAAGGAAAATTAGTACTTCAAAGAACATATTTTTTGTTGTTGTTAAATATGATTGACTTAAAAGCAGTCTTTATGGTTTAGGAGACCCACGAAGACCATACCCAACTGATTTAGAGATGAGAAGTGGATTGTTGGGTCAGATGAACAATCCTTCCACGAATGGTGTGAATGGTCATTTACCAGGAGATGCCCTTGCTGCCGGTAGACTACCAGGTAATACTGATCTGAAGAGTGTTTCCAAGGAGATCAAGGACTTGATGACCGGGCAGAGATGACAGTGATGGGCTTTAGGGCTTTATACATTTGAGAGTCCAGAGCCAATTCATTTTAATAGCTAGGTTCTCTGCCTGTATGCCCTGCTTTCTAGTTACTCCATTTAAAGGCTTTTAGATGGAGGTTATGAAATTAGATAAAACTGCTTTTATCTCCTTTACCTATTATATTCCGACATAGTCCACAGGCGTCAGGGTTCTGTGTTTTTTTTCCTGCTCTACACTCAGTATTTTTGCAGTTGTGAAGTATGCCATATAAACAAACATGTATTTGTTATAAATAAATTATTAACATGTACTTTAGGTAATTTGTGTTTTGTATGTATATGGTGGAATATCTGTAAGATACGTAAAAGGAAATACCTTTCTGAGGCAGTAACTGTCAATATTTTAGTTTATTTCCTTTTTTCTTTTTGCATTTTTACATTAAAAATATTCTCCATATATTGCTTTTTTTGCTTGACAGTACATGTTAAGGATGCCCATATGTTATTAAAAAATGCTTTGTACACATCATTTCTGTTAGCTACCTAAAGTACAAACTGGGGGTGTCAGTGTGCACATATATTAATTTCCTTAGCTATACCTCATCTTTTTCATTATAATTTGTACTGAGTTATATACCAGTCTCAATCCAGTCAGTAGACAAACCATACAGGTAATTTGAACAGTAAAATTGAAAGACTTGTTAACTCGTTCCAATGTACTTACTAAGGGGTAAACATTGTTTTTTTTTTAAAGTACAGGAATGACAGATACGGAGAGTTGCTACTACACTCTAGTGGGCAGAGGCAAGGGACCCAAGAAGAGGGCAGACTAGAAAGGCACCCTTCCCACCCTCACTCCAAACCTGACATATGGGGTAGCTATGGCAGCTCCATGTCCGAGAAGATGAGGTATCAGAGGCCAGTGTTGGCAAGCAAGAAACTGCACTGGGGTCTTGGGGAGACTTACTGGACAGCCACCCTTTACGACTGTAGTGAGACTGACTAGGAAACCACCTTCAGGGGTGCAACCACTGTTGCTGAGAGGGAAGCCCGCTGTGATGTGTGTACTAACCAGCCCTACAGGAGTGAATGCATAAAACACCTGAGCCAGGAAATGAAGGCCATTCTCCAGCAGGCTCCCCCCAGGACCTTCTACGGATAAAAGCTGGATATTGTGGAAGCGGGTGGAGGAGGCATGGTTTAGGGTCCAGGAAGAAGGGTAAATTTGCACCAGCTGGCACTCCCACCTAGTTAATAGCATTGCTCTTCAGAAATCTGCCTTCTCTTAATCCTAAACTTAGGGCTATACTTTCAGGGATCATTTCTATACTGTGTTAATCCTGAACTTTTTTGTACAATACTTCCTGTCATACATTACTAGTCAGTTTGTCTTAGAACCATGTATAGTAGCATCAATGTATCTTACAGGAAAAACTTGTCAAGAGACTATGTGAATAGTGTCTTAAGAGAGTAGTATGGTATTTTTTATATATAAAATAACTTTTTCTTTGCGAAAATATTATACTTTTCACTGATCTTTTGTATTATGACCTTCCTTAAGTTGGCCAAATAAATAGTTTTATTTTTAGCCTTAAAAAACTTACTTCAAGGGCTACAGGTGTATCCCAGTGATAGTGCACGCTTTGCCTGTAGGAGGCCCTGGATTTGCTTCCCAGCACCACAAAAAAATTGTTTTTACTTCAAATTACTTATGAAAAGGAAAGAATAATTAACTAGGTTACTCAGAAAGAGAACTATTTTCATATATGTGTCTTTCTTTTCTCCAGATGTTCTTGCTCCACAGTATCCATGGCAGTCAAATGATATGTCAGTGAATATGTTACCACCAAACCACAGTAATGACTTTTTGTTGGAACCTCCTGGGCATAATAAAGAAAACGAAGATGATGTAGAGGTTATGTCAACGGACTCCTCAAGCAGTAGTAGTGACTCTGATTAAAAAACACGGGAGACACCCTACAGAACTGCAGACCACAGAATTCTGTTTCTGACACAGGAGCAAGGAGATACTGCAGAGGCATAGAGAGTAGCCACGTAAATATTGGCTGTGATGGAATTGTGTAGCCCATTAAAAGTCGAAATGGATTTTCCCTTTAAAGCCCACAATCATAGTTTTAGTTTTAATCCACCAGGCAAATGTTTGGGGATTAGTCAAAATTTACTCTTGGAAAGGAAGATTATTCAGTAGTTCAGCGCTTTCCCGCTCTGCTGTGCGCCTGTTGTGATGTATTTGTGCGTAGTTCTGGAGATAGAGTTGAGGGAGGTGACCCCTGTACATACCACTAATGGCTTCCGGGAATTACTTTTTAAAACAGGGAAGTGGATATATGTTACATTTCAGAATAAAAACTCATTTCAAAGTGAAGTCTCTTGGCTTCTGTTGCAGGAACAGAAGAACAGTTTGTACTATTTGTATTCATAATTTTTGTAAATAAATTTGCTTCTGTTTGTATATTTCTTTCTTGTTTTGCTTTTTAAGGTAGGGTTTCGCACTGTAATTCAGGTTGGTCTTTAACTCACTGTGTAGCCCAGGCTGGCCTTGAACTCATGGTGATTCTCCTGCCTCAGCCTCCCAAGTGCTGGGACTACAGGTGTGCACCACCATGCCTGGCTGTATGTTTCTTTTTTAATTTAAATAAACCTTTGGTGTAGTAGGAAATTATTTCTGTAAACCATTTACATTCTGTAATCCTTAAGTAGAATCCTGGAGTGAGAATGCAAGTGACATAATGAACATCTGATCTAGTAATCATAGCCAACAGGTTTCTCAGTGGCCCACATTCTTACTCTTAGAAACAGTGTTCTTTAATAATTGAGTAAAAGGTATGTCTGCTTTTAAAAATTATGTGAAAAATTTTAGAAGAGAGCAATCACCTCTTCCCCTCACATCCTTTCTCTCTCTCTCTTTTTTATTTATTTACTTATTTTTGGACACATCTGCTTTAGCCTCCCGAGTGCTAGCACGGCAGGTGTGAACCACCGTACTCATTTCCTCAGGTTCCTTCCCTCTTGCAGTTTCCCAGGAGTCACATTTAACCACTTTCCATTTCTGGTATGTAACTTCCGTGTATGTATATACATTATTTCTTGATTTACCAGTTTTGGACTATCACTTTTTTCTTATTACAAATATGACATCCATTTTGAAACAAATACATTAAAGCACAGAGAAAAATAAAATTATTAGCATTCTACTTAGAGTTAATTTCTGTGGATTCTTTGCAAAAATTCACATGTATAATTTTTAAAAGACCTTTCCTGAGGTGCTCTATTTTTTAATTTTTAAAAAAATTTTTTTGTTTCAGTGAGACAGTTCAGGCTGGCCTTGAATTCCAACTGATCCTCCTGCCTCAGGTTCCCAAATGCTCAGATTATAGGCATATATTGCCACACCTGATCTGTATTTTTTAATTGTTAGTAATCTCTATATATCTTTCAAATGAGCTGAGAATTCCATTTTTTTGTCTTGTTTTTCTCTTTTGATTATCTTTGATCTCTAGAAAATCATCTCTTTTGATTATCTTTGATCTAAAGAAATTGATCCTACAACTCTTCATAGAACAAAGGGCATTTAATATTTTAATGTCTTTCCTTCTAGGTTTATATTTATGAATGGAGAATATGTCTAATTTTAAACCTTGCCCTGTCCATCCAATACTAGGAATATTTTTCCACATGGATACATTCTTTGAAAGATTTACTTTAATGACTAACGTTCCATTATGTGGATGTGCTTCAATGTATCTACTTTTTTATTATTGGATAGTTAAATTTCTTTTTGAGGGGTAACATTTGTGTATCAACACTGCAAAATTTTTAGGATAGGTTCAGAAAGAATATGTGGTTTTTCAAGTTACTCAATTTGGTACTAGCTTTGAGTTGCTGCTGGAAAAAATTACCACAGACTTGGCTTAAACAACATAAATTTAGCCTACAGTTTCGTAGGTCTGAAGTCCAACTGGGTTTCACTAGGCTGAATCCAAGGTGTGGCCAGGACTGCTTTCGTTCCCGGAGGCTCTGGGGGAGAATGTTTCCTTGCTTTTCCTTGGCTTTGATAGGTTGCCCTGCTTCTGTGGTTCTGGGATCCTAGTTTTTTAGTTTCTCATAATGCATCACTGACGTTCTTCTGCCCACATTTTACAGGTTAAAAGAAACCCAGTGGGCCAGTCTGATCCCCTTCAGTGTCCCCTCTAGCTGTGAAGCTGAAGTCCTTTCCTACTCTACTCTCCTTTGTGAAGGGCTGGCCTGATCTTGTCAGCTCAAACTGAATCCTCTTCGGATTTTCTCTTTCTCCTAATCTTCTTACTCTTTTGTTAATGGCTGGTGATCTTTGCAGCAAATCAAGCTGATGTCTCATCATTTTTCTTTCTACTTAGAGCTTTTTTCTGTTTAGAAAAAAAATCCCTGTAATATACTGGGCCCACTGGGTAATTCTAGGTAAATCATTTTAAAATCAGCTGGTTAGCAACTTTATTCTGTTTGCTACTTTTTTGCTAAACTATGATGTTCAGTAGGTTAGATGTATTAAATACATTTTCCACGTGCAATATTTCAAATTATGATGGGTTTACCGGAGTATAACCTCATAAGTCTAGGAGCATCTGTCTTTACAATAGTCAAAATGTGGAATCTGGTAGGGTGATGTACACCTGTAATCGCAGCACTTGGTAGGCTAGGGCCAGTTTGGGCTGCATAGTGAGACCTTGTCTCAAACAACAAGAAGAAATGGTGGAGGCAGCCAGAGTGTCCCTTGGATGGATGGATAAAATGTGGTTTACAGACACAATGGAATGTTAGCCTGAAAAGAAATGAAATTCTGACAGAAGAAGCTATATATGTAGATGAACCTTAACATGACAGAAGTAAAATAAGCTAGTCACAAAAAGCAAATACTGTATGATTTCACATGTGTGAGATACCAGGAATAGTCATTTATGAAGACAAAATAAAAAGGTAGTTACCATGGACTAGTGGAAGTGAAATTAGCATTTAAAGGGAATGGAATTTTGACATGGGAACATGAAAAATGTTTTGCAGATGGAGGATGATTACACAGTGCTATAGTAAACACAATTGTTGGCAAGATCTGGAGCAATTGGAGCCCTCATACATTGCTTCTATGAAATGGAGCAGTCACCTTGGTAAACTCTGGGCCAGTCCTCAGAAATGAAACATAGTTAAAATTATATGACCCAGCGATTCCATTCTTAGGTATGTATCCAACAGAGCTGAAAATATATCTACAAAAACTTCTACGTAAGTGCTATTAGAAGCAGTCTGCATAGTAGAAAGTGGAAACAACCCAGTGTCCAACTATGAGTAAGTAAAATATGGCATATCCATATAATGGAACAGTATTTAGCTGTAAAAAGGACTGAAATATTTATATACATCTTACAACATGGAAAAACCTAGAGAACATAGGCTGTGAGAAAGAAGCGAGACAGCCACGTGTGATTCCATTTAGTGGTTTCAAGGACTGAGAGGGATGGGTGCTTGGGGGTGAGGCTGATAGGATGCAATGAAAAAGTCCCAAAGTTAGATGGTGCTTGAATAATGCTGAATATACTTAGATGTGCTGAATTGTACACTTTAAAAAGAGATTTTAATGGTGTATGTGTTAATGAAAAGGTGTAATATGGATTTGAAACCTGTCCGTGTGGAGAAACAACATAGAGCAGTACTTGTCTTTCAACTTGGGCACTTTTCCAGGAGTAAAATTGTTTTGTAGACTGGTAAACTGAGTAATATATGCCATAAAATGAGTTGGGCCAAGAGTATTAATGTTTTATCTCACAGTTCAGTATCTTTGTATTAACCAATATGAATTTGCTTTAATGGCATACCCATATACATAAATTCCATAGTATGCAGTCAATAAAATATCAATTTATATAAAATAGGCATTTAAAATAGCTAAGGAAGGAGGGAATGTGGAAAGGATATGAAGCAAACGAAGTGAATCTTGGTACTTGTTGGATGATAGATGTATTGAAGTTCACTGTACCATTTTATATTTCTGAGATTTTAAAATATTCCATATTTTGAAGGAAAACACCTTTGTTCTCCACATCAGTGCCCCCCGACACACACACCTTGTTTTCAAGTGCCAGGGAAAAGCTGGGCTCTTCTGGAAGATAGCTTTGATGCTGCCAAAACTCCAGTTCAGGATGCCCGACACGGAAGGAGTGCGGGGACTCACCAGCAAGCATGTGTCGATTGTGTTGCTGTTCCCTGAATACAGCTGTGAGATTTAGGCCACCTGTATTAGTTTGCTGAGGCTTCCATAATAAAATATGACAGACCAAGTGGTCTTAAGCAATAGAAATTTGTTTTCTCACTGTTCCAAAGACCAGAAATGTGAGATCAAGATGTCAGAAGGGTTACTTTCTTCTGAGGCCTCTTGTCATACAGATGACCTCCTTGATGGGTCATCATGATCTTTTTTCTGAACACATGCATCTCTAGTATCTGTTGAGTACATCACAGTTTCCTCTTTTTATAAGACACTAGGTTTTCAGGTTGGAGTAGCTCCCCGTGGCCTAATTTTTTTTTATTTTAAAGAGAATAAAAAATTTAAAAATCATTGAAAATGACACTGCATTTTAAAACAAAATGATAGGAAATCAACAATGGTTGTTACATTGCCTATTGTTATCTTCAAAGCAGTAGTTCAGATTACCAGATATAGGCATGCAAAATGGATCAAAAAAATTAAGCATGAACTGTTCCCTAATTTTAACTTAATCTCTTTCAAACTCCGTCTCCAAATAGAGTCACATGCTGAGGTGGAAGAACTGGTGGGACACAGTTCACATGACTACCAGCTAACAGCCTGCACAGAACATTTAGTGAACTTCTAAGGTATGTTTATCCTGGTGAGGTATCTTTTTACTTTAGATTCAGTTTGTTATATATTTTCACGTTGAGGTCCCTTGTATAGCCTCATTTTACAGAATTTGGCTAATCAGTGTTTAGCAAAGTATTTTTATTACATCTTCATTTTAACACTTTTAACATATAAGGTTCTTTTTTTAAAGCAGTTCTTATGAGACCAAATCTTTGGTTAGTGACATTGCCTTAATAATATTTGTGTGGGAAAATGATTTTCTTTGTAACAACTGATTTTTTTCATTTTTAAAAACTTATTAGTACATGTTTGCAGTACATAATGACTATATTCACTGTAGGAAATCAGTACATGTGCATAACACAGTTCAATTCTATTTTACCCCCCTCACCTCCTACCCTCCTTTAATTTTTCCAGTATCAGCTTCATTTATTTATGACTGTATGAAGTTAATTATATATACAGACTGAAAACCAGACGAGCTAATGAACATCTAAAACATGTAAAGCAGTTGTACTAAGTCAGTTGTACACCTTTAGACACATTGTTCGTGTTGGATTACAATGCTGAGTTTTTCACGTAAGAGATACCATGCAATATTTAA